AACAAGTCAATAACGACATAATTTCATAAGATTAAGGGGAAAATGGAGCGATGCAGGTTTAAGGGGCTACTTACTGAACCATTGTCTTCGTCTTTTACCTTGTTTTCAGTCTGTCAAAAATAAGGAATGGATTTTAGCTTCATTTTATTGAAAGATGTTTTAAAATTGTTCTCAAGCATGTATTTGGAGAGGCAGTACGGGGAGGCATGGAAATTAGTCAACCGGGTGAAGGACATAAGAGAGCAAAAGAAGGTCAGGTCTCGGGCAATAGCCCTGAAGAACGAGTAACAACATGGTCTACCCACTTCCAGAAGCTTCTGGGGAACTCCCTACAGCATAAGACCCAGACGAGGAGATACCAACTATCTATGCAGACCTTGAAATCAACGATGAGCCCTTCACTCTCGACGAATTCAGAAGAGTAAAGGCTGTCCTCCAATTAGGGAAAGCGACTGTCCCTGAGGTCGTCAAATCCTGTGGCTTTGATGAGATTTGCCTGAATTTTTGTAACATGGCCCTAATGGAGTGCAACAAGCCTGACCTCTGGTTCCTCATGAACATCATCCCTGTCCCAAAGTCGGGTGACCTGTCCAACACTAACAGCTATCGACGGATAAGAGAGTGTCCGAAATGAAAACCAGTATTCTCCTAATGTCTATATATATATCTATATAAATTTTAACAATCAATTCTCGTACCCAAATCCTTCTCGCAACTCCAAAGGGACTACAGAACAATGGTCAAAAATGTGTTAAAAAGGCCTGATAGTTAAAATAATCAAAAAAGGGAATCTTTGTGATTGTAACAACTGGARAGGAGTGACGTTACTACCTGTTATAAGCAAAGTCTTTTGTAGAATGTTAATGGACCGCATAAAGACAGGCGTTGACAAGAGGCTAAGGAAAGAGCAGGCTGGTTTTAGATCAAAGAGAAGTACTACAGAACAGATTTTCATACTAAGAAATATCCTGGAACATGCTAACGAGTGGAGAGCTGCTGTGTATACGCATTTCATTGACTTTGAAAAAGCTGTCAWTTCAGTACACAGGGACAGTTTCTGTAGTTTAAAACACGAGAGAGAGTGTTTTATCAGGTATAAAGATTCGAGCCGAAAGGTGCAAAAAGAAATGAGAAAGTATTACTGAACGGAGAAGAGTTCGAAGATGTTGGAGAGTTTGTATATCTAGGGGGGCCACAATGCACAAAGAAGGAAGAGGGAACAGAGACATCGATAACCGCCTACAGAAAGCTCGTGGTACATTTAGAAGACTAAAGAGAATTTGGACAGTAAGAGGAATTGGAAGAAGGAATAAATTAAAGCTGTTTAATTCATTTGTTCAACCTATTTTACTATATGGTTGTGAAACCTGGAAAATCAATAATGGAAGATGAAAAGAAACTGAATACTTTTCAAAGCAAATGTCTAAGATATATGTTGTAGTTCAGGTTCAATATATTTTTGAACCTCCAGTTTAATCTAATTTGTTCCAGTACAAGACTTCTTGCTTCTTAGTCTTGCTTCATAGTCCACAGTACTACCAATTATACCATCAAGGATTTTGTTGGTGGTAATGTTTGCAAATTGTTTTTATCTTAATTGTAATTTATTAATGAAGAAATTTTTTATATAATGCTGGCTCAGCCCTATTCCCAAACCTATTCCCAAACCTAAACCTAACCCAAAACCTAACCCTAAACCTAACCCTAAACCTAACCCTAAACTGATTTGTACTGGATTGAGTTATATTGGACTGGCTCAAAATAAACTGAACCAGTTCAGAAGAAATTGAACTGGTTCAAGATCATATTGAGCCTGAACTACAACATATATTTTGAGGATAAGATGGTGGGAGAAGGTCACAAACGACAAGGTCAGAGAAATGGCAGATGTAGAAAAGCTCAGTAACGAAATTAGGCGTAGAAGATGGAATTGGATCGGTCATATCCTCAGAGGGGAAAATGAAAGTGACTGTTTGATAGCTTTAGAATGGACACCGGAAGGAACTAGAAGAGCAAGGGGAAGACCAAAGACTACTTGGAGAAGAACGGTGCTGAAAGAAAGGGACAACGCAGAATGGAAGACTTGGAATGAAGCCAAAATGGCAGCAAGGGATAGAGATGGATGGAAAGAGGGGGTGAAGGCCTTATGCACCTACTGGCGCGAAGAGTTATGATGATGATGATGAAATCCTTCTCGGTTTCCAAATAGAAATTCAAAGACTCTGGTTGTTGACGAATGACACTTTGATTTGATTGGTTCAAAAATGCCTATGATCCATCAGTATGCATATATCATACAAAGAAGATTATGGTTTTTCCATTATTTATGTTTTTCCATTGGGAAGCTGAAATGGTTCTGGGTACGAGAGTCGAAAAAGGTGATGAATGACAATGTTTTTTCCTTTCTAGTTTCTTCGAGGGAATTAAAACCAAGTCAAAACACATTTTGGGGCGATTGGGATGATGATATGGACAGTAGACGAAGAGTGGAATAACTGTGTCACAAAGAAGAAGAAGCGAGTTTTCTTTCCTTTACTTATAAGGCAGACCGAACTTTTTGAGTTTAATCTTACAAATAAGTGGTAAATTATTACCTTTGAAGACTTTGAATTGCATTTCTGGTAGCACGTTTTACAGCAGAACCTTTGACATATGTGCCAGACGAACAAACACGTGAGAGAGATGATATTGAGCGGTACAGGGACAGGATG